TATCAAGTTCACTTGTTAAACCAAATCTACGAAATTCATCATAGGCCTCCTTAGTGTTAGATTTAGAACTATTAAATGTCTCTCCTGTTTCTTCAATCATGTACTGGTATTGTAGTGGATTACTGAAGAGCACGATGCCCGTGTTGGTCACCCGAGGGCCTTGTTGCTTCCATTCGACGAAACCACAACAGTCGTCCTTCGGACAGCAGTAAAACAGACGGTTTTGATTCGGACCATCTTTCTTGACTTTTCGTTCACAGCACACCATTCCATGTTGACATAACGGTCTTGGACCTTCGAACACGTCTCCCCATTGCCAGAACTTGCAGGGATTCTTTCGCTCAGAACATACGAAGAAAGGTCGTCCGTAGTTATCTTTCATTGTGTCTTTGACTACACATAACTTGGCAAATTTCTGATGTGTAGAACATATGGGATGTATAGAACCACTTGCACGAAACGCAGCTACAGCTCTCGTATACATATAACAATTTTCGTCTGGGCAAAAAAACTCACAGCTTGGTTTTTCCCCACAAAACCAAAATGTACCATTGTTTGTAGTTGTAGAGGCAGCAGCTTTTCCGTGTAGACACTCCATGACTGATGTAGAACTATGCTTGTTACAAGACGCTTGTCGATTTTATACAGACGCTCGTTAAATCAAGCAACCAATCATAGTAAGCCAACATTAATCCCTCCATTGTATCATACACGTGGAGAGACGCTAAAAAATGCCTAGTCAGCAAGTTTCGCCCGATCTTGTTTAAACCTGCCCGCGTGACGTCATTGCATATAATTATGACGTATGTTAATGAGTGACGTCATTACTCCTCCTCAATTGGACGAGTATTAATTATAAATGAGGTGGTGGACACCCACCACCTCAAAACTCCACCACCTCACACTCCACCACCTCACACCACCTCATCCACCACCTCAAAAATCCGGATCGAAAACCACCTACTATACTACTCAAAGCCATACACATAAAACAGATTTGGGAGAAGTTCTTTGTACGATTGCATGGCGATAAAATATATAATTGTTTTGTTTGTGGAAACACCACGTAAAAAATATGGTAAAACATTTATGCAGTAATAAATTTACGTGGTGTTTCCAGAAACAAAACTATTATAGATTTGGGATAAATTTGTTATGACAAGCATTTAGTATATTTGCATACATACAACAAAAACTATTTCAAACGTAGTCGGTAGACGGTAATTCGTCGTCAAGACTTTTAAGAACTCCATAGTTATTAAGCGACGACGGTGTATTACTGAGGAGAATGCTACACTGCCACACTGCACCATCCCAGTCTCTTCCTCAGATTGACTGTACAATGTACATCCTTATCTTTAAAATTAGGATCATTATTATAGCGCATTTTCTGAAATAATTCCTAATAAATTAATTTGTTTTTTTATGTGCAGTCAACCTGGGTAATAAGCAGAAAATTTTAATTGGAGTATCAAGTTAATTTTAGAGGTTTCATCTGAACTTGCAACATTCTCTTATGGTAAAATTTGTTTTTCAGACGTAGAGTTGAAAAGCAAAAAAGAATCAACGGAAAATACATTGGACGCAGACTTCACTGAGACATCAACTACAGCTCGTGATGTATTATTTGAAAGTCGTAAAGAGAAGCTATTACTGAATATATCTTCAGTGATTTTGCTGTTGGTTCTGCTTTTCTTATGGGTATGGTACCGGTGAACTTATGTGCTAAATCGTATATGCACTGACAGTGGCGTACCAAACGATACCATTTTCATACATTTTATATTCTATAAATAGCTTACACTTGTATTTTATAGCTTTTAATTACGAGCTTTACTGACTCTTAGGGGCTGTTTATATGAGGCGAGCCAGCTCGGGTACCCGAGCTAGCTCGCTTTAAGCGGGATCCCGTCTTTGTTAATATTTCCTACTAAATTTCATGTTGCGTTTATATGAGAACCGAGCTGGCCCGCCTAACCGAGGTCCCGCTTCGTGTGACCCGAGACCTCGGGTAAACGTGCTGTGTAGTTTTCCATATAAACGCAACAGGGAGGGCTAGCCCTCCTAGTAACACCGCGGAAAAACGTCTGCGCATGCGTCAACCTTACCTGTAATAGTATTCCGAAGTTGATGAGAAGTTGATGAGAAGCTGTTCCGAACGTTTCCGAAGGCTCAAAATGGCGGTAAAAAAGAGTGACTTCATTGTGCGTCTTTACAGCCAGATTTCGAGCGCAAAAATAAACATGTCATTCTAAAAACTAGGAATAAATACAGCCAGAAGGTTCAAGAAATTGTATTGTACAAGAACATGAACTAAAGGTGATTGTTGACAAATTTATCGTCTGAAACATTTTGTTTATCAACTAAGCAACGACAATTTCCAAATTTTCGTTTGAGATACATTTCTTTAAAAAAAACCGTGTCGCCAAATATAGAAAATTTTCGTGTTCACAATAATTAAACTTTAGGATTTATTCTGCAATTTGAGTGGGTTAAGAAGCTTAACTTTTCGAGAGTTTTCTTAACTTTTGAGTTTGAAATTTTGTTTTGAATAATTTTGCAAAAATTTTCGAAGTCGTGTCCGTTAAAGAGTATTGGCAACAAAAATTTAAGCAAAAAATAAGCCGATTGGCCGTTTACTGCTCTATTCTATCTCATCTGGTTCCGAAGTTATACGCAAAAATGTGCAAAATATAAATTGCTGATTCAGCACATTCTGTGACGTCATAAGCTGGGTAAGTATCTTTATTGAATAGTAAACTAAAGCATAGCTGAGTTATTATTAGCTCAAATCAAATGAAATTTTGCATACAGATAGTACATGATGAGATGCATGGGAAAAATACTTCTAATTTCGTTGTCAAGGCAACACAGTCGTTCCCAGGCCTCTTACACTGATTTTGAATAACTAGTTGCATTTATCTATGTGTATGTCATTTTCGAATTATTATCATGCAAGTAAACTTTTGGCATGCATAGGTATCATACACATACTTCTGATATTATTTTATTCTTATCAGTACCTTGAATAAAGCTGTTTCATAAAATTGGCGCAAGGGGCCTGGAAACGACATTGTTACCTTGGCAACAAAATTAGAAGTGTTTTTCCATGCGTCTCATCATGTACAATCAGTATGCAAAATTTCATTTGATTTGGGCCCATAATAACTGAGCTATGCTTCAGTGTAGTATTCAATAAACATACTTACCCAGCTAATGACGTCACACGTTGTGCTGAATCAGCAATTTATATTTTCACATTTTTGCGTATAACTTCGGACCTAGATGAGATAGAATAGAGCATTAAACGGCCAACCGGCTTATTTTGTCATGCTCTTTCAGATGAAGCAATAAGATACATGAAGCAATTTTTGTTGCCAATCTCCTTTAAAATCAACAATTTTTTACATGAATTATATTTCATTCCATACTTTAAATGCCAGGACGCTTTTAATTAATGTCTAGTCTACCCATTTGCTATATTTTCTCGTTTGTTTTACTAATTTTTGACCAATTAATAAGCATGTTTTTGTTTTAGAAATTGATATTCAAATTCCCCGCCATATTTTCATAATTTGGTGCATGCGCAGACGTTTTTCCGCGGTGTTCCTCCTAGTAGGGCTGGAAATTTAGCACATACGCATGCGCAAATAATTAGAATAATTCAGAATGCACAAACAACTCCCATATAAGGAACCAACTTCCATATATGGAGTTGTTTACGCCAAAAAAAATTAGAACACGAAGAGCCAGCCCTTGATGTAAGTTTCATGTAAACGCGTCGTGAAATTCATCTCGGGGATGCGAGCCAGCTCGGGTATCCGGGCTGGCTCACTCAGGGCCCGCGGAGCGTGTTAGAGAGTGGGGGGGCTAAATCATCAATAAAACCCCCAATTAATTAATTTAGAAAGTTTCATTTAGATTTCTATTTTAATAATTTTGGAAAAAAGTGGGGGCTAAAGCCCCCCCCCCCCCGTCTCCGCGGTCCCTGTCACTTCCATATAAACAGCCCCTTATTGACTAGCAGATAATAACAGGAATTGCACCCAGTGAACATGCTCTAATTAGGCTAAGGCCCGTTTCATACGCCGTATTTCACATGTGCCGAATACATTAAAAACAATAGGTAATGAGGCATTTCAGCTCATTATTTATTGCCTTTAATGCATTCGGCACATGTGAAGTACGGCGTATGAAACGGGCCTAAGTATAATTTTAGTAATGTGGTTTTCAATAAATATAGATTGCTTGATATTTTGTCTATATCCGCCACTGACGTTTTAGTAAACTAATAGTATAATACTGTATAAAAATACTACAAAGGCAGATGTCAAAGTATGTTATACGTGATAAAAGTATAAAATATCATTCAAGTGAAGTAAAAATTGAACTTGTTAAATACCTTTGTTACGTAATTTCTGTGCTCAGATCCATCTTTCAACCACACTCTTTCGACGATTTCAAATAAGAAACGATTTAACCAAGGCGAAAGGTCCCGAACAGCACTCTACAGGGTGTCTCAAAAAAACCCAAAATCATTGAAATTGACGTATTGTTCGATATTCAATGCCCTAGCACTAAGTTAATCCCACGAGTGCATAAAAGATTGACATAACTGCTATAATGAATGGTAATACTCAGCGTAAACTTGTTATGTCAGGCATAAAGTACTAAACCCACGAATGCATATTACGCATATTACAATTTACGAAGCATTTTAAATTCCCATGAGCAAACAAACGTTCACTTTACAAAGATATTTTAATTTTTTAAAACAAATTAATCACCCTGTCAAAATCCTTTGTGTTACGGCATTGAAATTCGAACAATACGTTATTTCAATGATTTTGGGTTTTTTTTGAGACACCCTGTACAGGGTGTATAAAAAAAAACGCAACCTCGGAATTTCCTAAAGGCCGGTTTACACGACCAGTGTTTTGGGCACGGCACCCCTAAAAATGGGCACCCGTGCCCAAAATTTTAGGCACGGCACCTCTGCCTTTTGGCGTGTAAACGTGACAATAATCGGCACCGGTGCCGCAAAATTTAAACGTGCCGAGACTTTCTCACGAGGTAGTCTCGGCACGTCTAGCAAGGGGTGCCGTGCCCAAATTTCGAAAAAAATAAAAAATATGTTCGACATCGAGCATGCGCAAAACAAATTGTCTTCTTTCCAACATAGCAGCAAGCGGGGAAAAACTACAACTTGCCAAAAATAAAAAAAACAAGGTTAAAAAACAAATTTAAATAACACAGAATGTGAATGTTGCTCTAGTTGACTCGGAAATTTTTATACCACTGTTCGTCGCTGAAGAGAGCAGTAACTAGCTAGGTCGTAGCAAATAGCTGTCGTTCGATGCGTCCATACCTCTCGAAATCGTGGCGGGTGAATACAAGATGGCACAAAATTTATGCGAGAAAACAACCCCTTTCGTCTTAAAGGGCCTGTTCATATGGGCAAAGGTTATTTCGGTTGACGAGAAAACTTTTCGACTAGCCAAATGTACTTTTGTTCTGTCCACATGCATGGAGAAATGTTATTCCGCTTACCGGGTAAAGTTTCCGGCTGTGACATAGCAGAATTGATATTGAACTGAAAAGTCAGTACTGACACGACAGAAAGCTATCCTGCCAAGCGGGAACTAGAGTTATGTTCATATGGGAAAAACGTTATCACTCGACAAGCGAGATCTCGGTACATACACGGGAAAACGTTTTGTATTATATGAACGCAGTGTAAACAAACTTTTCATATTATTTTCATACCAAGGCGAGATCTCGCTTGTAAACGTTTCGAAAAGTTTTTTCACTAACCAGGATAACTTTTGCCCATATGAACTGGCCCTTGAAGTACGTTCCTAGTATAGTTTATTCTTTAAAATATACCGTCGTAAACGGAAAATAGAGGTGCCGTTTTCCGATGGGCACACACTGGATATCAATTGAATTGAAAAGATGCTGATACGACAGAAAGTCAGTATCCCGCTAAGCGGTAAAGTTGTGTTCATGCATATGGGAAAAACATTATTCCGGTCACCGAGATTTGGCTTGTCAACAAGCGAGATCTCGGTACACGGGAAAACTTTTTGTCTCATATGAACGCAGTGTAACTTTTCATATTATTTTCATACCAAGGCAAGATCTCGCTTGTAAACTTGTCGAACCGCTAACCGAGATAACTTTCCGCTAACCACGATCGCTACTGTGAACCGGGATAACTTTTGCCCATATGAGCCTTACTAGCCTTAAAGTACTTTTCTAGTATTGAATTGGTTTTTTCCCTCGATTTTCGGCTCATATAATACTCTTCTTCGTTCCAATAAATATAAATATATAATTCTATTTCTGTCCGACATATTTATTCTTTAAAATATACTGTCGTAAACGGAAAGTAGAGGTGCCGTTTTCCGATGGGCACGGTGCCTATCATAAAAGTGTGTTTACAAAATGTTGTCGTGTAAACGAGTAAATAGCGAAGTGGCGGTTTTGGCACGGTGCCCATTTTCAGGGGTGCCGTGCCCAAAACGCTCGTCGTGTAAACCGGCCTATAGAGTGCTCAATACTTTATTGTGCACCGTCAAAGTCAACGTGTCCACCGCTGGACACTATATCTCTTGTTTGTTTTGTTTTGTTTTGTACTTTATTTAAATAATTAAATATATATATATATATATATATATATATATATATATATATATATATATATATATATATATATATATATATATATATATATATATATATATAGGGGAATCGTTAACTCCCAAGAAAAGAAAACTCTTTGGGGAAGTATATAAACCGATATCGCAAGGATATGAAGTGGAGATATACTTGGACAAATAACAGTAAAATTTTTCTGAAAGAAGGCGAACAAACTGTGAAGTATTCAATTGAGACGAAGGAAGATTTGATCAAATTACAAAGCTCTAATGAGACAATTGCTCGCCGCACTCGACAAAGGCATACACAATCGCAAGGAACTTAAGCTGAACACAATAGCATTGTTTAGTATGTCTACTTGTCTATTCCTTTATAAATTCTTGCTTTATCTAATAATTGGTAAACTCTATCTAATTGTTCATTATCATGCCGAATAATGTGCTTTGCGAACTACCGTTTTATACCTTCAACAATGAGGAATTTCTTAATGTAATAGGATGCATAGGCATGATAAACAATGCTAATCATGTAGACAGCATGAGTGATTTATACAGGGCGTCCCCAAAAAAACGAAAACTATTGAAATCACCAATAACAATTTAATTGTTAGAATTTGAATGCCTTAGCGCTCTGTTGGTTCCCACGAGCGCATAAATGATTGACATAAGTAAATTTTATGCATAAAGAAACTGTTTAAGAAGCTGTTTTTAATTCCCAGGAGCAGAAAATCGCGCACTTTACCAGGAGATATTCCTAACTAAATTCTAATAGATGCACCTTGTCAATATTTTACGCATATGGCATTCAAATTTAACAATAAGTGATTTCAATAGTTTTCGGGTTTTTTCGGACAGGGTGTCCCAAAAAAAAGTGACACTATAGAAATTATCCTATTATTATAATTTGAATGCCCTAGCACTAAGTTGATCCCATAGGTGCATAAACTTCTGCTTCTGGAATTTAAAATAAAAAAGCAAACCGTTTATTAGTGTAATCGTTTTGCTTGACTCGGGCGTTAAAATATTTGGACAAAGCGAAAACGTTTTAAAATGCTTAAATGTAAATACAAGTTCATTAAATTCCCAGGCGTGTAATCACGCGCGTTTAAGAGCGGCTTAAGAACAATGAGATAATTTCTATAGTGTCACTTTTTTTTGGACACCCTGTATAGTCCCCCAAAAAAGTACCCTCTATAGAAATTATCCTATTGTTATAATTTGAATGCCTGAGCACTATGCTGAACACAAGAGTGCGTAAACACAATTGAATTGAATTTTT